CATGAGCCCCTAGTAGCGTCTTTGCTCCTAGTAGTAAGGCCAGGAGCCCCTAGTAGCGTCCTTTCTTTATTTTTCTTCGATGTTCAGGCTTTGGCGACGGATCGAGGCCCGAGGTGACCGCCCGTCACGGCCCGAGGACGGGTCCACGCGTCGACCATGCCGGGATGCGGGACCATGGACCCTCCCAAGCGACGAAGCGAGCCGTGAGCCTTATAGTAGTAATATAATATAGTAATAAGTAATATGTAGTAATGCCCTTGTTACTTAGTAGCTTCTTGTTCCTAGTAATTAGTAATGCCAGGAGCTACTACTAGCTTCTAGCTACTAGATGGTTTGAGAGACCCAGTTTTTCTCCGTTTGGTTGTGAAATGGCATTCGTGGGCATACTGGTAGAACCTCGTCCCACCGGCCCATCCCTCGTGATCCCAACTGGTGCAAGAGAAGTCTTTCTTCAAACTCCAAATCAGTGTTTCACTGAGTTTCAGAGTGGAAAAGGGATGACATCGGGTAGAATTGCACAAATGTGTTCAACAAAGAACAGCCAATTCCATCCAATTCCACCATCTAAGCCAAGCCCCGATGTGTAAGTTTCGTCATCATTGGTTACGTGACCCCCGGTGTGACACGTTTCGTCCTCGTTTCGCTTGGGATTCCAATCGAGGTCCGGGCGAGCATCCCACTCGGCGGTCACAGACGAGCTTGCAGGGGCCGGAGCGAGCGGTCGCGGTCGCGGTCACCGAGTGCGGTCAGCGGTGGGTGAAAAGCCTTCCCAAAGATCCCCCAAATCGCCCAGGGCAGAGATAGGATGAGATAGGTGGATGAATTAGGTGAACGATGTGAATTCATTTGGGTTACGGGTCATTGGGATGTAGGCTCCTTGAACTTTGACCAGTTTACTTTCAGACAGAATGTGACCAGCTGTGGAAGACCTGTATCACAGCCAGTATAATCTCCTCACAGCCTGACTGACTCAGCATGTGTGCAACCTCCTCCTCACATATCTTCGCCAGGTGATGTACATCTTTGGTGGCTCTGGCTCTCATTTTGGTTCGGGCAACTCAGAGATCACTGAATCGATTGGGAGGACTTTCAAAGGACTGGCCTCCGCGCCGAATTGGAGGATGCTCCAACGGGTTCATCCCATCATTCTTTCTCCAATCCTTTAGCCCGCTCCCACTAAGTTAAAAAAGGCGGCAGGCGCCGGGCGCCCACTGAATTAAGTAAGGGAGAAGTAAGCTACTATAGCTTATAGGAGAAGTTCGCTCCTAGCTAGGACCCACGCAGGAGAGCGCTCGCACTATTCATTATATATCTATTCAATTCTCTTTATTAATTTGTTTATTTTTTTGTTGGACCTTTCTGTGTTGACTCCTACGTACAACTTACCATAGCCGTTGACTCCCTTCCTACCTGGAACAGAATCGGAAGCTGGCATTGTGGTCCTTGTGGTTCGCCCTGGTCAGCTACCAACTCGCCGTGGTCAGGCTACACCAACAAGCGCGACCTTTGCGAGTTCTGCTTCCAAACAGAGACCTGGAGACTCCTTTCCAATCCGGTGGAGGACAAACAAGTGGGAGGGTGCCGTCTGGTTTTTTGATTGTGTGGTACCCTTTTGGAGAGCCGGCTTGTTCTGTACTCCCTGGAATCGTGGAAGACCATTTTCCTCTACACCACACCCTTGGAATAGTCCGGGTACCGAGCGGGAGATGACGGGCTGCCCTATTGCAACAAAGTGAGAAAAGAGAGATATTCCAAGAGGTAAATCTCAACTGGAAACTCTGGATGCACAATGAAAGGAGACACAACTTGCTGATATCAGACGGTTGTCAACTAATGATCAACATGTCTAAACGTACAAGCAGACGATTTTCATTTGATAGCAAGCCATGATCGTAAGAGAAACACAAAATGGGACAGCTGAAGACACACAAGAATCCAACAGCATGATAGAAATGGCAAGTCGAATCCAACGGATGCTTAGAGGAGCATGAGCATGAGCCAGAAACAACATGAAACAACTGGTGTTTCACCTCACATATTATATAACTCTACACTTCTGGGCGGCCAGAAGGACTGACACCGAAGCCAGAAAGACACACGCCCACATCATGAAATCAGAGCCTCTGCTATTCCACAACGGTAGCTGTACAAAGACATAGGCTGAACAATAGGCGCTCCTTGCATGTACGTCCGACAGAGCAAACCCTCAGAGCGACACATTTCAAAGTCCGACCGTCAGAAGACAAATTTGGAGCGAGGGATTGTAGGCACTTGGCTGAAGGCTCTAGACGAGAAAGTCAACATGACTCCCTTTCCTGGAAACAGGGGTGGGATTGAAGATTGCATTGGGAACCGTACAGCAGGCTGACCGGACAATTCCAAAGCAACTCCATCAAGAAAACAATGCGGATATAAATCTTGGCCACTTCAAAGCACAATGCGATGAAGCCAAACATGATATTCAAGTGCATCCAGATTTTTGTCCACATAGCTTCAGGTTTACAAACTTTAATCACTTCGTCACACCCTAACAATCCCCGAGATCTCTCAGAGTTAAAGGCCCACCTGGTCTCAAGAACTTCGCTATTGCCTTCGGACTTCTCACGCTGCAGAAACAACACCTTCATAATCTTCATACCGCAGAAGTTGGATATCTTCTGTTACTACTAGTAACAAGTGCCACGCTAGTAGTAACAGGTGCCTTACTAGTAGTAACAAGAAGCTATTAGAAACAAGTGCCTTACTTCTAGGAGTAAGAAGCTACTAGGGGCTCCTGGCCTTACTAGTAGTTATATTCAAGCACGTTCGTTCGTTCCACTGGACACGGCAAAAAAGGTGAAAAGGTGCCGAGGAACCTCAAGAGTGCTTCGGGCAATCCGGACACTTCGGGAAACGTTGCTCGCCACTGCGGTCGATTTCAAAGAGATCTGTCCTGTCTCTGCTTGGTATTTAAAGCGATATGTGATATGCCTGTCCGCAGTCCTGTCCACGTATGGATTCAAGTTCAAAGAACGGTGAACGGTATAGAACGGTGAAGACCAGTCATGGCTCAATCCGCAGTGTGCCCTCAAGAGGGCGAAGTGTTGGGTGCCTACCCCTTGGCTTGAGCCGAGTTGTGCAGGGCCCATTTTCCTCTACAAAACAGGTGCCTTTCTACTTCACGTCCATGGTGGTAGACTCGATTTTGGTAAGATGTTCATTTCCAGAAGTAGATGACGATGTTTCCAGGACACGCCGAGCGCGCGCTACGGTCAGAGTATGGTTGCTTATCAACAAGGTTGGACTGGGAAGATGCCTTTTAATGGTTTTCAGACATACCTCATTGTTTGATTCTGACAAGTCTTGTGACGATTCAAACATGACTCATAGAAACCAGCCTTAATTGACAGAACAGTCTAGCCATACAATCGCGACGTGCTTTGTTTCCAAATCATGTCCAAATCTTTCTGCAGCCATCGACCGAGGTGATTCTCAAAACCCTGTGGATTGACATGTGGCTTGCCGTGTTCAATGCGCTGCAAGTCTTCCCAGATTCTGACAAGAAGCAAGCAATTGGAATCCAGCAAGTCGAGGAGGGGCATCGACACTCTTCCGATGTCCCATTGATATGCATGCAAGACTTCTACCAACTATGAACACCATTTGTAACACATAGCGCCTACTTTCCACCCTTGCCTGTCGTTTGCGACGGCATTTCTCCGATGTTGAGCATGTGGCAATTGAGTTTGCTCCTGGTGTCCTTGGCTGCTGCTGGGGAGGTGCAGAACGGAGGAACGGATGAGCATGGAGAACATATGAGAACATCACCAGTGACGGTTGACAGTTCCCCGTGCACAAATGAGATACCATGAGAATGTTACCATTGAGATCCTATTGACGCGAGTTGGTATTAGCTGGCTTTAGTCATCAGGAAGTCCGCTTGGGAGTTTTATATATGTTTGTTTCCAACTTGTACTGTATTTGTCTCGGACACATCACATCGCACATTGTTGCGTTCACGGTTGCAGACGGTCGTTGTGCATTGGAGTGATTGTTGCTGTCCCCCACAGCGGCCAGAAATACCCAGAAGTTGGTGTTGGGATGTAAGCGCCTAGTATAGGGCCAGACATTGCCCTTGAATCATGCTCAGCAAACCTGCGATGGCAGAGTACTTGTAGTCAATTTAACGAATCTTGCTCTTTTGTACTTGTCCTTTGCCAGGTGGACCCCAAGCATGCTCTTCGGCTTCAGACAGCGTTCGACAGAATTCCATGCAGTTGAGCACACCCAGATAGACACTATATAATGATATATAATGTAAATATATATATATAGCTATATAATAGATAGATCAGACTAGATAGATGCTCGCCAAATAGTGAACGGATTGTTTGTGTCAACTTATGTCTATTTTTTCTACACACCCTTATTCTATCCTAATGCGAACCATTATTGCGTATAGCGCAAGATCATGTATTGCGAGTTTTGACAGGGGGCTTCGAGTCAACATTCCCCAAGGTCAACCAACTGACCTCTCCCCTTATTTGGCGAAGACACTTGCTTACCCTGCCCGAGTCACATCAAAATACCTGAAGTGTGTTTGATTCGCTGCATACAATATCATGCAGGTTTTAAAAGAAGCTGGTGTTGATTGGATATTCATGCAAGTAGACAACATTATCCGGTGATTACTTGCTCTAAGTTTATCCTGGGTTGACATTGACCAAGTCAATCCGAACTCCGCCAACATCCTAGACGATGTTTTCGATATTGGTGCATGCTGCATCATATAGTAGCGGACTTCAGGCTTGATAGGACATGTTGCTTGGGCGCATCTGGAGTTTAGGCCAGGACTCAGGACCCTTTAATGACATGGTTTGTAAGTTTTACATCTTTTTTGGAGTTGTCAAAACCAACGATGCCATTCATTCAGGATATCGAGGATATCATTGATTGTGTTTTGCTTGAACCCAAAACGGTCTGTGCCATGTACGCTTGGCATGCACGAAAAAAACACTGCCACCACACAGACGGGTGTTGCATAAATTATGTACATAATTAATGTACCATTCTGGAATCGATAGAATATGAAGCATGTCAAGCATATTGCACTTATCTACTATATTCTGGTTCATTTTCCCTTAAGTTTTGCAACGTATTGCCTTCATGGCTGCTTGTGTGTTATATATTCAAAAAGCCCAAAGCTTTTTTTTGGTGGTGTCGAACACATTTGGATCGCGGATGTCTCTCCTCTCGGAGCCTCTTCTACCCTAAGGCGACCAAGATCAAGGTCTACCATGTTCATGCGGCCAATGTGAGCAACATCCCCATTGACATGGACACAGGCGATGCACCAGGAGATTTGCACCTCGATAAGATGGGCATGGGGGAGATGGAAAGGAGGTGGATTCAGGCCTGGAGGTGGGACCTTCAGGTTTTTTTGAGGACACATGAGGGCTTTGAGTCAGTTTAAGCACCTGGTTCTGAGGTGGTGAATCTTTCGCATCGAATCCGTATTTGCAGGGCTTCGGGTTTCGGGTGAGCCTAGCCCAGTTCGGACCTGCCGATGCAGTGTGAGAGATTCGGCGTTTGAAGGCCAGACGATATCATATGATATCCATTTTTGAGAGACAGAAGCAGATGGGGTTTCTTTACGTACTTTTATGTGAAGCTGCTTGCACCTGGACTTGGTGTGTTGCAGAGGTCGGTTTACCGGTTGCTTCCAAGGTCCCCCCGTCGTGGCTTGCGTTTGAACATGGCCCCACTGTGAGGATGTTGGACGATGAATCTGACGATGAACGGTCCCTTGAAGGTCACAATGTCCCACATGTTTTGCCTCCAAGGTTCTTCCTTTTGGACGAGTTCCTGTTGCTGCGCCCTCAGCTGCTTTTTTGCTCAAGTTTTGGAACTTCCTTGATTCATCGGTGAACAGGTGGCTCCTTCCGTTCCTCTGTGACTTCGATCACGTCCAAAAGATCCAATACCCCCAATCACCCAGTCCCAACAGCTCCAGCCAGAGCGCTACTCCAAGCCGGAGCTGACTCTGAGACCGCACAGACCGGGTCTCAGACCCATCATGACCCATCACATCCCAGTTTTGGAGCCAAACAGCAGCTCAAACCCATCCGTGCTGCCCGTCCTCTATCCAACTTCGTGCATAAATAGGTAGATAATATTATTATTATTATGTAAACGTATATCATATGTATATACTGTATACTATATACTATATATTTCTTTTTCTGTCCAAGGCCTCTGCAGTGTGCGGATCCCACGTACTTTTACGATAAGTTCGAGTGCCTCAATCCGGAGCATCGCTCAAAGGCGCACGCGAGGGTGTGTCTAAGAGACGAGCGAACACCGCTGCTGTTGGTGAAGTTTAGCAAAGCAGACAAGGTCTTCGATCTTTGGAAGGGTGGAGAGGTTTGCATTGGAGATAATAAGTTAATTAATTGCAGATAACTGATAACTGATTATATATAGCAAGTGGGAACTTGTACGTACTGTACACTGCCTTGCAAGTGGATAAGAGTTCATGATGACTTCAGCAATCATGAGTGCATCATGCACTCCTTTGTAAATTGAGCCCTTCGACGTGGTGCGATGCCTTCGACATTCGGAATGTCATTTTATGAACCTGGGGACATGGACGGGGGCTTCTCAGTCTTTCACATATCATAGATCTATTTAAGACAATGAGCCTCTCACACTCCGAGTCTGTTTCTCAACCCCGGCCAGTCAGCGGCTAGCCTTCAACCTTCTTCGGGAACCGAGTTGCGTTCTGAAAGTGAGGAGGAGGTTCACCTCCATTTGTCAAGGGAAAATTCAGGGGTCAACGAAGCATATCCACTCAGGGAAAGGGGCGATGTGGCACGAACACCCCGATGTTGCAGGGGCTGGTGGCCACTGAACTTGAGCTGGAGGCTCGAATTGACGGCAAACATTGGGAAACGAATGGGGGAGAGAGTTGTGGCGTTCTGTACAATCCCAAACTCGCTCAAGAGCGCTCAAGTGATGTTGGCACACCTGAGATTGTATCCCACTAAGGAAAATACTTCAACCCTTCTAAACGTTACTGTCCGCAATACAGGTCTAAAACCAGGCAAACTACATGAAACTATTCTTGAATCTTTTGACCTGTTTCGGGGGCTTGAACGCAGATCCCAGTATGCACGCTGCGCTCACCAGGGACGCGTCAGCTCCTCCCTGCTCCTCCCTGCTGCGTCAGATGCCTCAGGTTGACGCTCGCTTCACTAACTATTCTGGCTGCAACTTCTGCACGGGGACGGATCCTTTCACTCGTGGCTCAGCGGCTTTTCTGCCGGTGTTTTGCATGGGATTCGTTGCCTCCGTTGATTCTTCGTTGCAGTATGTGCACATTCAACCAAATGGGCAAAATGAGAGAGCTAGATAGATACTTTGAGGTTATGGACCAGCATATGTAGGAGGTACTTATTCGGGTTGACCATTTATCAGGTCCATCCCAACTCCTGTATGAGTACAATATAATATATATAAGTAACTATAATTATGACCCCTGTTTTCAGAATGAGGACGTCCAGAACAACCAGATTTTCACGGCGTGATACTGACTCGTTCATGGTTGCAGATTGGGGTGAGGTAGCCTCCAATGCACGCACTTTGATCCTCCATTCCCTCGATTTAGTATGATTAAATCCGGCGCTGAGTAGTATAGTTTTGCCCACAGTTGGTTCACCTGTGATTTTCTTACAGTTTACCATGCTTCTTATTTCTTTCCATGTTTGTCCTTTTCCGTAATCCAACTGCCATGACGCACAGCAAGACGACCAACAACACCAGCAACAACAGCTACCATTTGTTACAACGCCAACTACGAAATTTCAGGGCTAGAAACACATTCAGGGCCTGCCATATTTTGTCTTAAAAGGCTCCAAAGACTCGGGGTTTTGGTCCCACGAATGGACGACCTTCCTTCGTGAGACTGACAGTAGGGCGACCTTCGCATTCCAAGTGATTTGCATTGGGCATCAAAAAGTAAGGATTTTGTAAGTTTAAGTACACATCTTGTTGTTGAAGCCTCCTCCAATCATGTTGCAGCAGACATTGGTAGAAGTAGTATATAAGTGATTCGGCTACTTGCCAAAGCTACCGATCCTCGCCCTGCAGACAAGCCTTGTGAAGCTGGGACCTATGTTTGTGAGCCTTGGCGAATCACTTGTGGATGCAGGAATGACCTTTTTTCAAGCCTTCCTCAAGATTATTTTGCAATTGTGGCTGCCTGTTCCAAAATCAAGCCCAAGGTCAGTGTCCTGCTTCCTAGCACAAGTGATGTACCACATCATGTCAGTGTTCATGGTTTGCGATAAAGCAAGTGTGCACGGGAACATCATTAGTAGTTCTGAACCACCATCGTCCATCATCTCAGTGTCCATGTAAACACGGGGTGTTTCTAAAAATTGTTGTGCTGTTGCCGGATGCACAGCAGGCGCCTGAGCAGCTCGAGTCTTCGCTGAGGACTGCATGAATTTCTTGAATCCCAAAGGATGTGATCGGCGCCTCGCCACTTGCCATCAAGTCACCAGATGATCAGATGTCTTTCTGATAGACTTTGGAGGTAGAGGAACGAGCACATTCCTGGATGAGGCAGGAAGAGGGGCGTAGAATGTCCTGACAAAATTTAACAGCCACATAGCTACTGTAAACACCAGTCGGTTGCATATTAGTGACATTCGGGGCAGTGCTCAAGCTTTAGACAAAGAAGCTTGGAGGTGCTGTAAGATCTACACCAAAGCCTCCACACCAACTGGCCAATCATGGGTTCAGCTTTTGCCAAACCTCCCAAGATGGATTCGAGCAACCGATGCTTTTCTATCCTTTTCCAACTCCTTGTGGGTCACATGCGCTACTCATCATGCGCCACTCGCAAAGGTGGGTATGGAGACGGTTGTAAAGGAGTTTGTTCATGATGTCACCGACCAGTGCAAAGAGACCCTTGAGGACCTGGGCGACTGGACCGGGAGACTGAACTGGGCATTCTGAGGGACAGCCAAAAAGGACTGACAAAGCAAACAAGGACAGGGGAATTTGATGGAATTTGGAGGAAACCAGACACCCATGTAGGAGACACCCATGTAGGGAGACACCTCGGTTTGGTGAGTGGTACCGATGTCGATGCGGCCGCCAGGCCAAACACGCGCCCGCCGATTCACCGATCTAAGAGAGGTTTGACAGTTACCAACTAGGAGAGAGAGAGAGAGGTTTCTCACATGGAACAACCAGAACGTCCATAGTGTTTAGGTCACGACATAGTCCATACTGCGACATCATGGAGAAGCCGCGCTTTTCAACACTTAGTAGGATTTAGAATAACAGTGATGAGCGGCAAATTGGTAGCCCTGATGCTGTTTGTGACGGGCCGAAGGTCAACTCCGCAATCAGTGGGGGTGCTAGTTCAGTGAGCTAGTTCGCTCGCTTCCTCTCACGACTCTCACCTGCCAGGATGTGTGCGGCCATGTGCGTTATTCCAAATGGTGTCCACTCTGCTTGGCGAGGCATCAGAAGCTGCTGAACCAGAGCACTTGCTCCGCACCTTGGAGTCGAGCGATGGTCCTGACGTTTTCAGCTTTTGCCTGTTGGTCGTTTGGACGGTGAATCACCTGGGGTTTCGTATGGAATCAGTGACCGACTCGGTTTTGGGTGATCAATCCACTCAGTCGGTGATCAGTAGTGTCGGGACGATCCTCAAACGCTTGTGTTTTTCAAGCACATGAACTTATATATCTGGGAGTGACCTCGGTCTTCTCTGTGCACGCGTGCAGTGCTCCAACCAGGACTTTAGCGCCGGTCCATAACGATTTTTGTTGTGTTAGAGCTGCTTCAGTGACAAGTCACGAGATGACAGCTTCCTCCGCGGATGCTGTGGCTGAGGCCGAGGCCACGGCGTACTGCCCCGGCATTGGATTTCCACTCTGCGCGTCAGATTCCAAGAATTTCGACTGTTGGCACATGAACATCGCCCGGAAGACTCAAGGAGCGTTGGCGATGGGTGGGTGGGCAAATGGGGTGTCTCAAATCAGATGTTTGACTTCACATACGCTTCGATTCGCCATATTCGCCGATATGGAAGGGGTTGTATGCCTGGTTTGCTCTTTGCACATGAGTCACATGGAGGGTCTCCTTGATATCCTGGAAGTTTCCACTTCCGTCGGTGCTGGATTTCTTACTTCCAACCCTCACTGGTCGGGTAGCGCGAGGACTCTGGTTCTCCACCTTCCGCACCCTCCTCAGAAAGTGCAGCCATGACCGCGATACAGTCAGAGAAGACGCGGTTGACAATCCTGGACAGTTACAGTACATGCGTAGACACTGATTAGTGGAGACAGAATCTTCTTCACCATGCTGATGGAGAAGACTAGTGGCAGGTGCTAGTTGTTTCGAGATTCAGATGCTTCCTTATCATTTCATGAGCTCTCCAGATGGCTTTAAAGGCTTCAGGAAGTTCACCAGCGTTGGGGAATAAATGCAAGAGCCCAAGTCCAAAACCATTTAAACTTTAAACATCTTTAAACTATATGTTATACTTATTATATACTCATCTGGGGTCTGGAACGCGTCTCCATTCCCGACCCAACGTCATCGGTGTTAGGTCCCAACCTGTGTTACTGTAGGTCTCCATTGCAAACGACATTTGGATTGCCATAAGGTGAGGGCTATTGCGACGACACCGAGAAGCCATGCAGTTGGAAGGTCGGACACCGCCACGGATCGGGTTCCGATGTGCGGGTTCCGACGAGTGTCTCGATGGTAGGCACTGGTTCTGTGGTTCTATGGTTCGTGGGCTAGTTCTGTGGGTCTCATATTCCTTTCCATCTCTGACACTGGGAGGTTGACAAGGGGGTTCTTTGGGGCTGCCTGATGCTGGCGCATTGCTAGGTGCTCGCCAGCCGCACAATCCAGGACCGTTTGTTTGCCCTGGGCTTCCTCTTAGTTTGAGTTTGAGTGTGGAAACGGACGTTCATGTCTTCTTGATGCTTCAGTTCAAGGTACCTTGGTGTCCTGCAACTCTATGTTCCCCCTCCCAGGAGGACTGTATCAAGACGCGCTTGGTCGAGACGGTGGAGGACGAGGGGTCTCGCTGTGCCTTGGAAGATGGTCAGCTCATGATTTGAAGGGGCTGGAAATCAGCACCAATGTGTAATGGTGAATTTCCGAATTTCCTATGCATGTGCATACCAGGTCTGCTTTAGTGCAGTGAGTGGTTGCCTTGCAGACTCAAAAAATCATACTTTCTGAGAAGAAGTGACCCGCAACAAGACAACCTTTGAAGTCTCTGCGGAAGATCGTTTGAAGAACTAGTCAACGGACCACGCACACAACATGTCGTTGGAAGACCACTAGTCACCGTCACCATGTCGTCTGAACGAGCCGGGCCGTTTTGGGAAGCGTGGCCGTGTGTGACTTCGTGACTTCCCGAGGTTTCGAGCAGTGTGGAACCAGGAACCAGTCCTCTCCTTGCTGGGTTGGCTGCTTTTTTACGACGGTCTTAGGGCCGGAGGCGCAGCTTGGCGGTGTTCAGCTTGCTTGTGGTAGCTTGGTGTGTGGCAGCTTGTGTTTAAAGAAAAGGTAATAGAATGGGTCATAGGTCATGGGAATTCCGCAATCGTAAAAACTGTAAACATCCACTGAATCAGCTTGAATCAGACTCTTGTCTTGGTTGAAATCCCAAGTGGTAAGTGGTGGCTTAGATTTGGGTTTGCCGAAAAATCTTTGTCATTTGAGCCAGGAGGGGGAATATTGTAATTACTATTAATTACTCCTTAACAACGTAGGCAGTCTTAACCCACGGAGCTCTTCTGTACAACCTCAATGACGAGCCTAGCGAGCCAAGAGAGCCGGGTGGGCGTGCGCATTTGTGTCTGAAGATATCCTGTTTCAAGAGACCCCAAAGATGGTTTTGGATCCCATTTGGGGGGTCCATGGGCTTTGAACGGAGTCCATTGGCTTGGCAGGGTCAATCGGTTGCTGCCCTTCTTATGGAGGGAAGGTGTCCAGGGACAGAGTCAAGTACACTGTTTGGAAGAATACTTGCGCAGCTCGCCGTTACAAGATTGACTCAAGCCTGGCCGACGTCTGAAGACAAATTACGAGTGTCACTCTCCGAAGTGTCACTCCTTCGGTTTGCAGGAACGCAGCCACTCCTATTACGTCTTCGAAGAACCCTATTCCGTCTTCCAAGAACTCCAGCCCTCAAAGGTTTGGAAGGAGCACATCTATCAACTCTTTTTCTATTTGGAGCCTGGAAGCAAAGATTCGCAAAGAAGCCTCTCTATATAGAGATCTCTAGAGTGGTGTGAAAAGTATGGTACACTCCGACCCTACCGCCATGGATCATGTTTCTTGAACGCTTCAACTCCTTCTGGAAACTCTGCCAGGTGATTGAACCTGCTTGCTGGCATGAAGAACACTCATTCTTTGTCAACACCCCCCAGCGAAACAGTATCGCCTTTTGGGCCTTCTCATGCATTGCTTCGTACTGTGTGGCCGAAACTGCGCTGCTTCGCCCAAGGCACAACTCCACCAGGGTGACCGGCATGCCGTTGGAAAAGCTCACGGATGCCTGGACTGGATCTTTCCAGGCACAGCCACATGTGTCCCACACCCACATGTCTCATGAATTCTTGAGCTGCCGGGACGATGGCCAGACTTCCAAATGTGAGATCAAACCACACTGAAAACCTGTCATCACATTCTGTCATTGTCCATGGTTGACCTGATGCTTAGGCTTGTGAGTGGCTTTAAAATGTTTCTGTTTCAGGTTGTTGCAAACCGCTCACAGATCTCTTGTGCTGATTAAAGGATTAAACACGATTGAACGCTATCACGTCCATACTTCAGGCCATCTATATATATAAAATATATAGATCAAAAAAGAACAGGATCAATAGAAAATGGATGAACATGGCTGAAAATAGGAACAGGATCAACAAGAAGGTTCCTGAGTAGGCCCCTGCTCCTTTGGTCCCCTAGTCCCTTGGTGGCTTAGGTAGTTTGCTACCCCCCTCCAGCGCCACGAAATCTGCACTACTTTTGCCAATGCGCTGGGCCTGCCACGACACACCTTTTAAAAGTCACCCATTGTACATCCACACCTGGCCCCCGCCTAAGGCTTTTGATTAGGTGAAGGTAATATCCTTTCATAGTCCTCTGGTCGCCCGCCCTGCTGCCGTTGTCCTTTCACTGGTATCTTTTTCCTTTTGTTGCTCACTGGGATTTTTGTTGACCCCTTTCTTTCTTTATTTTTTCCCGAATGCGTAGCGAAGGGTTCTCGTTTAACTTTGGGGGTCTGGGGGTAGAGCCTTGTTCGCGACCCGTTGTTTCTACGTCCGCAACCGTCCTCAACCGTCCGCAAGTGACCGCAATCGTCGGCAGTAGGACGCTAAGGCGCTGCCATTGGGGGAAGCTTTTGCAAGTGACTTTGCATGGATGTGTCACGTGTCAGTTTGCGCCGCTATTCCATTGTGATTTGTATGACAATGACATGTCGCTCAAGAAGCATGATGCATTTCGCTGCACAGGCGCAGCGTTTTGTGAGATCCGCAGATTGCTGCGCAGTTCCATTGCTGCTTGGCTTCGATGGCCAAGGGGAGGCTGCACCACAGGCTGTATGAAGGTGTACCGCATCGAGTAGATGTGGATAAGGGACTTCAGGTCCCATGTGCGGCTCTCCCTTCGCCACTTCTCGTCCTTGGCGGTGTCATGGGCCCACCAAATCGAGAGGATGGACCCCAGTGGCGGCCGAGTCCCTTCCTGCCGCTGTGCTTCCACCTCCTGATCTGTGTAGTGGAAGGGCTCCACCATGTCCGAGCCGAAGGAACTCGGGTGAGTCCGCCTCTCCAGTGCCCGGTAGCGGTCCACCTCCTTGGTTGTGAGTGCCCCCGAAGTGGCAGTTTTGATGGATGGGAGTGTGCTCAGCACGGGTCGAAATCATTCCAAACGTGTGGTGTGGTGCAAATTTTGTTGAAGCTCACAGGAGATGATATTGTCACTTTTCGTGGCAGGCGCAGTACTTTGTGCGGATTTTGAGGTGTGGAAGTGCGATTTTTGTGGCAGGCGCAGGGAATCGTGAGGTTGCAAGGTGTGACGGAGGTGACATTTCGTGGCAGGCGCAGTACTTTGTGCGGGTTAGCCGTGTGGATGCGGAAAGATTCGTGGCAGGCGCAGGGAATCGTGAGGTCGTGAGTTGTGGTAGAGGTGAATGTCGCTGTCACATTGGGATTGGCGTGTGAGCGGGTATTGTTTGGAGGGGCTGGACTCGCGAAACTGCTTGGCAGGGCTGCGTGATGTGTGTGCTCCGATGGGTGTTTCCGCTTGACTTTTGGAGGAAGTCTCGTACGAAACGCTCGTTTTGCAGACTTTGACATGTGAGTTTTGGAGGAAGTCTCGTACGAAACACTCGTTTTGGAGACTTGACATGTGACTTTTGGAGGAAGTCTCGTACGAAACGCTCGTTTTGGAGACTTGACGTGTGACTTTTGGAGGAAGTCTCGTACGAAACGCTCGTTTTGGAGACTTGACGCGTGACTTTTGGAGGAAGTCTCGTACGAAACGCTCGCATGACTGCCTGTGGCGACACGACGTTTGTGATGTCGCAGTGCCATTGCGATTTGCGCAGCCGCGGGATGATTTGTGGCATCAAGATTGTCCCAAAAGAGTGCCCTGCAAGAGCTTCCTACAAGAGTGACCCACAAGATTGTCCTAGAAGAGTGTCCCAGATAGAGTGTCCCACAAGAGTGTCCTATAAGAGTGTCCCACAAGAGTTTCCTACAAGAGTGTCCCACAAGAGTTTCCTACAAGAGTGTCCCACAAGAGTGTCCCACAAGAGTGTCCCACAAGAGCTACAAGAGTGTCTCACAAGAGTGTCCTACAAGAGTATCCCGCAAGAGTTTCCTACAAGAGTGTCCCACAAGAGTGTCCCTCAAGAGTGTCCCACAAGAGTGTCCTACAAGAGTGTCCCACAAGAGTGTCCTACAAGAGTGTCCCAACAAGAGTGACCCACAAGAGTGTCCCACACGACTGTCCCGCAACAGTGTCCCACAAGAGTGTCTCACAAGAGTGTCCCTCAAGAGTGTTCCACAAGAGTGTCCTATAAGAGTGTCCCACAAGAGTTTCCTACGAGAGTGCCCCACAAGAGTTTCCTACAAGAGTGTCCCACAAGAGTGTCCCACGAGAGTGTCCCACAAGAGTGTCCCACAAGAGTGTCCTACAAGAGTGTCTCACAAGAGTGTCCTACAAGAGTATCCCACAGGAGTTTCCTACAAGAGTGTCCCACAAGAGTGTCCCACAAGAGTGTCCCTCAAGAGTGTCCCACAAGAGTGTCCTACAAGAGTGTCCTACAAGAGTGTCCTACAAGAGTGTGCCCACAAGAGTGTCCCAGATAGAGTGTCCCAGATAGAGTGTCCCACAAGAGTGTCCCGTATGAGTGTCCCACAAGAGTGTCCCACAACCGTGTCCCACAAGAGTCTCACAAGAGTGTCCCTTAAGAGTGTTCCACAAGAGCGTACTATAAGAGTACATGTCCCACAAGAGTTTCCTACAAGAGTGTCCCACAAGAGTGTCCTATAAGAGTGTCCCACAAGGAGAACCTACGAGAGTGGCGTGTAAGAGTGACCCACAAGAGTGTCGCACAAGAGTGTCCCACAAAAGTGTCCTATAAGAGTGTCGCACAAGAGTGTCCCGCAAGAGTGTCCCACAAGATTATCCTACAAGATTGTCCTACAAGAGTGTTCCACAAGAGTGTCCCACAAGAGTGTCCTGTAAGAGTGAACCACAGGAGTGTCCTACAAGAGTGTCTCAAAAGAGTGTCCCACAAGAATGTCCGACTAGAGTGTCCCATAAGAGTGGCCCACAAGAGTGTCCTACAAGAGTGTCCCGTATGAGTGTCCCACAAGAGTGTCCCGCAACCGTGTCCCACAAGAGTGTCCCACAAGAGTGTCCCTTAAGAGTGTTCCACAAGAGTGTCCTATAAGAGTACATTCCCCACAAGAGTTTCCTACAAGAGTGTCCCACAAGAGTGTCCCACAAGGTCTTGCAGCCTCGAAGCGTGACTTTTGGAGGACGTCTCGTACGAAACGCTCGCATGACTGCCTGTGGCGACACGACGTTTGTGATGTTGCAGTGCCATTGCGATTTGCGCAGCCACGGGATGATTTGTGGCGTCAAGATTGTCCCATAAGAGTGCCCTGCAAGAGCTTCCTACAAGAGTGACCCACAAGATTGTCCTAGAAGAGTGTCCCAGATAGAGTGTCCCACAAGAGTGTCCTATAAGAGTGTCCCACAAGAGTTTCCTACAAGAGTGTCCCACAAGAGTTTCCTACAAGAGTGTCCCACAAGAGTCCCTACAAGAGTGTCCCACAAGAGTGTCCTACAAGAGTGTCCCACAAGAGTGTCCTACAAGAGTATCCCACAAGAGTGTCCTACAAGAGTGTCCCACAAGAGTGTCCCTCAAGAGTGTCGCGCAAGAGTGTCCTACGGGAGTGTCCCACAAGAGTGTCCTACAAGAGTGTCCCAACAAGAGTGACCCACAAGAGTGTCCCACAAGACTGTCCCGCAACAGTGTCCCACAAGAGTGTCTCACAAGAGTGTCCCTCAAGAGTGTTCCACCAGAGTGTCCTATAAGAGTGTCCCTTAGAGTTTCCTACAAGAGTGTCCCACAAGAGTTTCCTACAAGAGCGTCCCACAAGAGTGTCCCACAAGAGTGTCCCACAAGAGTGCCTACAAGAGTGTCTCACAAGAGTGTCCTACAAGAGTATCCCACAGGAGTTTCCTACAAGAGTGTCCCACAAGAGTGTCCCTCAAGAGTGTCCCACAAGAGTGTCCTACAAGAGTGTCCCACAAGAGTGTCCTACATGAGTGTCCCACAAGAGTGTCCCACAAGAGTGTCCCACAAGAGTGTACCCACAAGAGTGTCCCAGATAGAGTGTCCCAGATAGAGTGTCCCACAAGAGTGTCCCGTATGAGTGTCCCACAAGAGTGTCCCGCAAGTGTCCCACAAGAGTGCCCTACACGAGTGTCCCACAAGAGAGTTCTACAAGAGTGTCTCACAAGAGTGGCCTACAAGAGTATCCCACAAGAGTTTCCTACAAGAGTGTCCCACAAG